CTCTCACCCACGGCCCCCCCCTCCCCGTTCCCTCACACACACCCTCAGTCACCCCCCGAGCACCCCCCTCACAAACAGCCTCTCGGGGCCGCCTCAGCAGCCTCCCCGCTCGCTCGGCTCCTGGCAGGGCCCTTCCCCGGGGCAAACCTGGGGAGCCACCCCGGTCAGCAGTATTGGGGAGAAATGGAAGGGCTAGGTTGGGGATGGAAACGGGACCATCGGCTCAGCTGGACAGCCAGGGTCGCGGGTGGTGTATTGACATCGAGTTCCCTGTGGAAATAATCCCTCATAAACCCCACCACCACCCCACCTTGCACATGGCCAAAGAGCAGCCATCGAAAGTGCCACTTCTGTGGCCACAGATCCTTCCCGTGGCCTGACAGGAAACATCTCCTGCACATGATAAGTAAAATGGTGATGGAGGGTCTCACCTAGACTGTGCAGGCCTTCCATAGATCCTCATTCATTCCTTTGGTTCTTCCACAGCAAAATATTTCCCTGAACGGTGCTAATAAATATAAATTGATGATTTCCTCCACATGTTGATTCCGGCCGTTCCTGACCCAGTGTGGATCGCGTGGGGTTGGAGCTGGGGATGTTCGTAGAATCATGGAATGGTTTGGGTCGGAAGGGGCCTTAAAGACCATCCAGTGCCACCCCCTGCCCTGGGCAGGGACACCTCCCACCACAACAGGTTGCTCCAAGCCCCCTCCAACCTGCCCTTGAACCCCTCCAGGGATGGGGCAGCCACAGCTTCTCTGGGCAACCTGGGCCTCACAGCAAAGAATATTTTCTTAATATCTCAACTCAGTCTCTCCTCTTTCAGTTTAAAACCATTCCTCCTCATCCTATGGCTCCCCTCCCTGATCCAGAGTCCCTCCCCATCTCTCCTGGAGCCCCTTTAGGGACTGGAAGGGGCTCTAAGGTCTCCCCGGAACCTTCTCTTCTCCAGGCTGAACCCCCCCAACTCTCTCATCCTGTCCTCACAACAGAGGGGCTCCAGCCCTTGCAGCATCTCCATGGCTTCCTCTGCCCCTACTCCAACATGTTCACCCTGGCCTGAAGGACTCTTCAGCCAAGTAGCTGTTGTGCAGTCCAAAGCCCATTCTTCTTCTTGGGGTAAAAAGCCAGCAACAACTGTTCCCCCAACCCTTGGGGTCAGTCCTTGTGCTGGGTATGCAATCAGGTTTTTTGCTTTCTACTCAAAAATTACCAGTCTCCATATTCCTTAAGCTGCTTTTCTAAGCTCACTGACAGAAAAAGCATATTTGTCTCTCTCTCTCCCCTCTTCCTCACTCTTCCCTCACGCGCCTTCTATGACTTGATACCTGACTGGGGTTTTTTCCACCTCAGTTCCTTTTTATTTCAGGCTCAGATGTTCTAGTCCTTTTAATTTCCATGGTTTCATTCCCTGTTCCTGGCCAAGGTGTTGCATGGGGAAACTTCTCTTCTGGCCAGCTGCATCCGTCCCTTCTCGTTCAATCAGCATAAAAGAAAAGCACCTGAGATGTTCCAGCAGCAATGCCTTGTGCTAGAGAAAATCCCTTTGTCCAGCAGACAAACATCGTGGAGTCAGGACAAGCAAAATGTAATTACCCATGGAGACTGAAATAAAAATTTGTCTCCATTTGTGATTAAATTAGTTCCCTATAAACATCAAAAAAACCTGTTGGGCAGGAGGGTAACATGATTTGTCTCTCTCAGACTCGTTTTTTACTAAATTCTCTGACTCCACTTGGGCCCCAGTCTGCATTTTGGGAAACATCCCAACAATTACGTATATTTATCTATAGAAAAGATGGGGACAAATGTATTTTTCTTCACACGCCCAGATCCGGATGAACTCAGATAAGCCACGTAAAAGAAATATTCCTTATTTTAAGGAATCGTGCCTTCTCTGTGCTTAGAAATAATTCAGGAAAGGTATCCCTTACTGATGGCACCTTGGCAAGATGATGGAAGAGCTGTCACATCAGCAAGCAACAAGTAGGGGGTAAATCCTAAATGCTGCCATAACCGTATGACAATGGGAAATTTCCAGAAATAACTGTTATAGCTTAGGCTGCATGCAAAGATATGAAAATAAAAGGGATATGTAATTTGGGGTAAAAAAAAAAAAAAAATCACTTCAAATTCTTCCAGAATATTTCCTAAACCTGTCAGAAAACCCTTTGGTGATCATGGAAACAAATTTTAAACAAAACACAGTGCAGTGCAGCACGTTAGAAGCATTTCACAAGGCAGAAAAGAGCTTTAAGGAAGCTCGACTCGTACCATTTGAAAGACTTTTGTTGTATAGTTAAGAAAAAATCACAACCAAATGAAAAAAAATATTTTTGAAGAATCTTAGAGGCAACTGATTTTCATCTCTGCCTAGTTGCTCTGCAGAACAGAAGCATTTTCCAAGCAATGAGACAGGTACCTGTATAAGTGTATGAAGGCAAACACATGTGGTAGCATCGAATTTGAAAATAGTTGCCAGAGATTTTAGTTTCAAGAGCGAATCCTGGCCACACCTCCGATCTACCAGACGGGTTTTTGATGTTGGGGACATCATTCCGAAGGCCATGGCGTTGGCTTTATCCCAAAAACCCACTGGCACCTCCCGCCAGGTTTACCTTGCGGGAGTTTGGCATTTGTTCTAGACTTAAACAATGAAACACAATAGGAATGACCTTTCAAACGGTTTAGAACATTGATGTTTACATGTATATTTTATCCAATAATAGCTTTCAGACTTCCAATTTGGAGAGAAATCAAAAACTATGTGACTTGATAACCCAGTTCTCCATAGATTTGGTATTTGATCATCTTTTTCTTTTCTAAATGTCAAAAAGATAATTCTATTTTCGTTACAGGCAGCAGAAGTTGAATGCAAGTACTAATTTCCTATATTCCACCCCAAATTTTAATTTTATTCCACCAGTTTAAGGACAAATTTTAACTCCCTAGTAAGGAATTTGGAACAGTCATACTCGTTTGACAGCTTAATACGTTATTTTGGGAACTTTGCATCGCAGAGCTGAATCCACTCCTGCCTTGGAGATGATGTGTCTCCACTAACTGGGTGTGCAACTGCCCTCTGTAACTCAGAATAAACCCGTAGCCAAACTCTGTGCCTTCCTTCACATCTAAAAATGTAATTTACACATATATGTCTTCCAGCTTTCTTTCCCCCCCCACAACTTTTCATCATAAATCCCAGTTTCTCTAATGCCCGCTGCTTTCTCCCCACCTTCCTCAGCCATCCTGGGGCTCTCTGACCTCCTTTCGCTCCTTCCAGTTCCTCTAGAACAAGAAAGAGCTGCAGATTCGATGAAACCCGAACGGCGCACACAAATTATGGAATTTTCACAGAAATATCAGTGGAACCCAGCTGAGAAACCCACCTGGTTCCTGCCCTTTCTCAGCCTGGAGCTGCACCCCTGGAGACCCGGAGGCAGGAACCTTTTGTGCCTCTGAGGTGCCAGCCTTGCTGGCAGCCAGCGAGGCAGATGGCTGGGAAGTCCCCTTCCTTTTCTGCACAGAATTTATAAATTTAGGCTGTTTTTCGGAACCACACAGAATTGTAAATTACCTCTATCTCCTGTGAAACAAGAGCGCTTTGCTCCATCCAGCCTTACAAGCCGCCCTGTTTCTGCTGTCCTGGTGCTCGCTGTTAGTAAAAAGGTTTTTTTCCCCTCAGAACAGACGTCTCTGTTCTGATTCACCCCGCTTATAACTGAGCGAGCGATACCAAAAAGCTATAATTAGAAAGAAAACATTGGCAGTAACGTATTTCTAGATGTTGCACAGAATAGCTGGGGGGAAGCAAAATTATGTTTCAGGTGAGCGAAAAGACAAATACCAAGATTATTTTACCCTGGCGCGGAGTGGGTTTGTGCTGCAGCAGAACCAACCCCAGCCCAAAGATTAGAGCTCGTTAGTGAATGTGTAAGTGCAGATCTGGCTCTTAGGTAATTCTCTTTACCCTGGTAACTGCTGGCTCTCCGGCAGAGCGCTGCCTCCCATTTAGGCGATTCGTCCTCGGCTCATCCAGGAGGGGAGAGGGACGTGCTCCCCCGATGGTTTTGTTTCTCACCAGCTGAACTTTGAACACGTCGAGCTCCCCACTCTCCCTGGCTCCTCCGATCCTGCTCTTGCCGTTGCTTTATTCAGCGTTTTCAGGCTTTTTTGCCATCGAGGAAGATTCGCAGCTGAGCTGAAACGCTTAGAGAAAGGGTGAGGAATGGAAACGCACAAAAATCCAAAGGAAGCACAGTTTTTGAAGCTAATGAGAACAGGGTATTTTAAATGGTTGACTGATTCGTTACCACTTTCCCATCCTCTCTCTCTGAGTCAGCCTCAGCCTTCACACCCAGTAAATCTCATACTTGCGGTTCTTTTTCCCATTTTAGTTTGAAATATAAAAATACTCAACTAGATCTCTATCCCCCCTATCCAGACCAGGGTGAAGTCAGAGAAGGCACAATGTCCCAACCAAATTATTTCTTCCCTGCCACAGCTGCTGGGGTTTTTTCCAGGCTGCCAACCTGAGACCCGTAAACGAGCTTCAAATATCCACAGCTGAGCCCTGGGCAGGGAAGGAAGGCAGGGTCCTTCCCTGTGATCACTGTGTGCTCCCAGCTGTGATGG